ACCTCTAACTCAGCAGCAAGATGAATGATGAGACTACGATTTTGAGCATTTATTGGGCGTACCAGGAGATGTGTCCACATAAATCGAAGGAATGCCTCTTGAAAAAGAGAGAAAGTCTTCTCTTTGGACACTTAACGGTCTCTCAACCTTAATAACCACCTAAATCAGACGTCTACCTGAAATACCCGACAAATGCCTAATGCAGGTACTGTACAAGGTATTTCAGAAGCGAATATCCAAAAGATTTACATTCTTGTAATAGTATCCGACAGCATTCGTTAATTATCGGACAGGAATTGTACAAATCAAACACACTATCCTAATCTAACCTAATTAGAACAACATCGAACAATCACGATTTTCACTTTCCATATCCGTCCTTATCACTGTCGGCTGCGTCATGAGCAAATGAACTCTCAGTCGCCAAAAACTTAGAAAGTCTTGCCTTGCGCTTGGAACGGTAGTTGCGTGCATACACTTTTTTGTTCTTCGACCGCTTCGCACCAATTGCCATCAATCTGTTCACGTACTGCGAATTGCATTCACCATCCTCAGAGCGGAGCGGATGAAAACGAACATGGACATTTGTTTACGCCACACATGACTGGAACATGACGTCATAAGACTTCCGGGCTCAACGGTATGACTCGCCACATACAGACCACAATGTCTTCATACGACCAAAAAAGTTCTCAACGATGACTCGATCTGTAGCAATACGATCGTTCCGACGAAGCTCCTCCATCGAGAGCACTCCACCGATTGGCTTCTTCACCGGTAGAACAGCGCGGACGTGGTGTTGGATGCCCTGATATTCTTTATCTACCAGGACAGCCCACTGCTGTACTCCAACGTTCGTATCATCCAATGTAGCTCATCGCCTTGCTTCGTGAGGCTCGCCTAGTGGAAATCGACATTTTCGTCGAAGATTGTTTTGTCCGAAACACTTCCTTTGTAGTACTTGGAGCAGTTGACGGCGAACCCGTTAGGTAGGACAGACACCTCCACCTTGTGACCATAGAGACTGTGCTTCCCACTGTAAAACTACTTCTTCTCGGCGTAGGATCCACATGGTATGTTGGTTTGCTGAAACGTCTCGCCCATTGCATAGCGAGCGAAAGGAATGCTCTGGAAATGGTGAGCGGTTGAGACCAGTTGAAGCATTGACCACTTCTCGCCGATCGACTGAATATACTTTCTGAGGAATGTCTTCACACGCTTTTCGAAAGTTGCCGTCTTCTGTTTGAACACGGCAGCTACGACGTCCCACGTCCCGCAGTGTTTGAGAGGCGTCAAGAGCATGAGCAGCATGTCTCGGGCGGACACCTCTGTTTTGCGTCCAGAGCCCACATTCCAATGCTTGAAGGCATGATTGCGAACATCGGACCACTGTAAGTTGAATTCGGCGGGGCTGAAATTGGTCATGGAGTGAATACCGTTAGGTCCTTGCGATTCGAGAAACATGTCGTAGACAGGAGCGGTGGAGTCAGCATCCTCGTCAGGCTCTTCAGCACCGTGAGTTGGATAGCGTGTGCGCTTAGCCTGGCGCTGTTGCTCAAGGTTTTCCAAAAGCGCAAGGCATTGGTGGATGTTTCGGGATGTCAGTTGGGTCGGCTGGGACGGTTGAGTGGCAGTTTGGCATGGCATTTGGTCGCTTATTGATGGTTGTTGGGAAGTTCTCAATGATTTTGGAAATGATTAGTCTTTTCTGAATGTAGTGAGTGCTTCGCGAACGATTACAGCCAAAGGAATGCATCCAATCACAGATTATCTGCTCGTCGTTGCTAAATGAATGGACTTCATGTATTTGATTCAATGGTTGTCCAGCTATATGATTTTATACAAGAACATATTACACATATAGGATTATAAAGGACTATCAACCAAAGTAAAAATCTCCCGTCAAGAGGTCTAATGTATCGTCG